TTTTTTTTTTTTTTTGACAATGCCATATATCACTTACTTGGTACATCAAAAAGTGACTGACATTAGAGAATAATTTCTATTATAATTTCAGCATAGCAAATTTGTTTACTTAATAAGGATAAGTTCCTGCATGTGTGGGTGGGAAGTAGAAAGGAAAATGTAAAGAAGAGCAAAGATCAGAATATGGAAGAGAATTATCTTTAGATTCTGGTTTCATGTATTTTTATAGCTCATCATCTGTGTACAATTTTTTACACCACAGTGATTATTTGATGGCTTTATTTTGCTGTATTTACATTTTCTCACATCAAACATGGAAAAACTACTTCCCAATTAGATTGAATGTTTAATATTTTTACATTAACGATGGTTATAATAGGAAAGTAAGGATCTCTTGTGACTTATGAAATATAAATATGGGATGAAAGGCATTTAAGGGAATTTTATTGAGAAGATTAATATAAGTGGTAAAATATAAATATTGCAAAAATAATTCAATGTGACATTTCTAACATTCAATTAAGAATTAAATAATACACTTGGTAAAATAAGTGATGTTAAGCTGTTTAAAGTTCATCAGTTGCCTTAAAGATTGATTTTCATCAAAATTACTGTACTAAAATGTTTTCTTTTGTTGTACAGACTCAAATAGCAAACCTCAATTTTAAAATCGGCTCTTATTTGCAAAAAATGCTTTGACATAGTGCATTTGTTCTGCCTGGGCAGCAATAAAGGATTGTGGTATCATTTTGAAGAAGGTTGTTTGACAGAGCCTGTTTGTTTATTTGGGGTAATGTGAGCTGCATTCAGAAAATGCCATATTTTGTTTCATGATTGTATACATTCTCTCCCATTGCTCCCAGGCAAGACTTGTAAGCAGAGAAGACACGGATTTAGACCTTTTTTCCATGACCAGTGGAAGTGCTTTGTCTGTGAAGAGAGAGAAAAAAAGTCAGGCACACAGACACTCAGCGGGATCTTCAAGTAAGTTGTGGTTTCCTTCAGAATTAATTTAGAAATCACAAATGAATTGATGGAAACTAATGCCAACAAGCATTCTTTTACAGATAGGGGGTAGGATGCCAGCAACCAGAACTGCCCAAAAAATGTGTATTTGGGTTTTTCTTTCTTTAAATGTCTTCTTTTGATATAAACAAAATTAAATTATTTCTAAAATTAGCATCATCCGTTTTATTTTAATTGTATTCTGTGACACAGTGGTCTACTCCCTAGTCCCCAACTTCCCAAACCCCTGTGGATTATATTAAATTCTTTGATCATTTAGTTTAAAAAGAATTTTTTATTTTAAATGTAAAAAGTTGATTTTCTATATCAAAGTAGTGTATTTGGGCCTTTTGTCATTTATTTAATGCATGTTATAGGTAAAGATAACTTTTATTAAAATAGACTTCTTAAAAATAGCCTAATTTTAGATATTATACTGTCAAAACTATGCTTTCAAAATTATTTCCATTGCATATATGACAACTTATATTTATTACTGCCCATATTTGGAATTTGTAAGCCACACACACATCTATTACCATTAATTGTGGAGAAAACTGACTTCTGCATATATCAAGGTATCAACAAGAACTGTATTACAGTTAATAACTGTAAAATATAAAAAGAACTTTAAATATATCTGGTATTTCAGAGTAATACAACATAAAAAATTTCAAACTGCATTTAACTTACAACCTTGAGAAATTTTGTAATAGCATCTAAATTATTATGGTATAATATGTTAATATTAAAAATGTTTGATATGTTTTCTAATTTTTCCTCATTATGATGAACATCAAAAGTCCAAATGTTAAGTATAAATGCTAAGTTATTCATGGAAAATGTTAATTACTCATCAATATTAGACATATATACTTACAAAGTTAATATTTGATTGATTGTGAAAAATTCAGTGACCTAGTATATCTTGGTAGAGTGTATGACATGCATCTGAGCAGGTGTGATCCTATGTATTTGAATTGTAAATGTTATCTCCTTAAAAGTTTTTAAAATACATATATTTCATACCTCCAGGTGGTACATCTTAGACCTATGAAAACTTCAAAAGAATCATTTTGAGTTTGTATCAATTTAGTTGGCATTTTTACATTTCTGTCATTTAAATTAATGCATGCAAGTTCATTTTGTTGAATTATAATTTTATTTTAAAATAATAATTTTAATGACTAATAGCTTCAAGTTCATACAGTATTTAAATTTTCCTTATCTAATAATAGAACTTGATCACTAAAAGGCTGGTCTAATCAATATGGTTTAGAAGAATTCTTTTAGTTTTATTCACCTAAGTGTGACTATTCATCTAATATATATTTCTACATGTTATATAACATGTTATCACATCAATTTTCAAATATATATATTATATTACAGAAGAAATCAACCTCTGCCACCCATAATCATGAATAATGCTATACCCATTTTAAGCATTGAAAATTAAAAAAATAATTTGATATCACTTTGGAGTAGTATATGTAAAAATAAAACAAATAAATCAAAAACAAAAAAAAATGTTTAGTCACTTAATAGAATACCAAAATTTTTGTTCATGATGAGTCATTTGAATGTTAAAGTGTAAGTAACTTAATAAACCAGCAACTATACTGAAGTGCACAGCATCATCTTTCACTTGCATAACACCAAATCATATATTTCAGAATACACATTATATAGAGTTTCAGAATAGACATTATATGTCTTACCACATTCTCTTAAAAAACTGAAGGTTAATTCTCACTGTAGTTCCAACTAGTTGTCAGTAAGTATCAATAAACACAATGAACTCTAATAAATCTAATAGCAATTAAGACAGCCCACTTTGGAAAAGTGATTTTTTTTTAAATAATAGAATGTTATTTACTAAAATACTGCTTGATAAGTTACTGTAGTTTCCAGTTACTATAATGTCAGCATAATAGAATGATACTGATGTGACTCTAACACTGACTTGCCAAATTTGAATCATGACTTTTAATTTCCTCCTCATTAAAATAAAATAATAGAAGTAACGGCTTTCTCAAGTCACTAGATAAAATGTAGAACATTTAGAACAATATCTGGTACAAAATAAGCGCTCAATAAATGTTCTTTATAATTGTCATCTGCACATAGTTGTAAAAGAAGAATCAGCTCAGGTAATCATACTGATGTCTCTAATACCTAAGTACATGGGTAAAATAGTTCAGTTTGTAAGGAAGCTTGTTGTTTGAAATATTTAGCCTGTTATCCATAGAAATCTTTTAAACTTCAAGAGTTTTGGGTCCTAGGAGTCCATGGTATTGAGCCAATCACTTATACTTTTAGTATGTTGGAAGTTCTTTTTCTTCCAGCTTTCTCTCTCTAACCCTGTCTGTCACCTTACTAAAGATAACATATTTCTTTAAGCTTTGCAAGGAAAGCATATCTAGAGAATTTCTCTTTCAGTATTGCTATATTTGTAACATGTATTCTGTAGACTCAAATAAACTCAAGTCTAAAATTCTAATTTCATCAACACATGTATGCTTTGGTTAAGGTTTTTGAACCTCTACGAATGAGCTTAATATGTGTAAAATGGGAATAATGTTTATCTCATAGAGTGTTAGTAAGGAAGAAATGACTAAAACTATGTGTTAAACTTGTGAGGTAGTGCATGCCATATAGTAGGGCTTAAAGGACAGGTCTTGTTTATAAACTTATGTTTATTTGTTGCTATATGTTTTATGTTGCATAATTTAAAACACCATCATCAGAGAACGGTCTGTCTATTCTGTGAGTCATATAATATGAGAGCCAGCATCCTTTTAAGATTTTAGCTATATTAAGCAATATAGCCTTCTCTTAGAGAATTTCATAAATTTCCTTTCCATTTCCTTCTTGATAATGTTACTCTCCTACAAGAGGGCATAGCAGTCTTCTACTACCTAACTTTCTAATCTGTCTTAAGGTCTACAATGAGATGAATGGGATCACATTTTCATTCAGAACTGACATTTATAAGATGAATATGCCAAGAGGTTAGCCAATATTTTAGATAAAATATTTCCTTAAACGGTTTTTGTTTTCTTAATTAATTTCCCCATTTAATACTTAAAATAAAGACTGTGTGACAATCAATAATAGTAATTTTATTGCTATAGTAATTTATAGCTTTACACGTTACTTTTAATTATTTCTTATTTTACATGATTATTTTTCTTTGGTAGCTAATAGAAGTGGGACTCAGAGAGTTTATTTAGTTTTCATTTGGTATAAAACTTTAGTATGGGAAAGCTGCAACTTGAACATATTTTTGTATTCCAAACCCAGTGTTATATTACCTTTTATCCTTCCATGGCCTAATGAAGTTAGTTGTACTGTTGAGTAAAACATAACTAGTGAAGTTACTCATTCATTTGTTCATTCATTCAAGAGTCACTTATTGAACGATCACTGCTCACTCTACTTAATTTAAGTTTCTAATTTTATCCTTCTAATCATCTCTGCATTTTCCAAGACATACTTCATTTTCAAAATTAGCCAGGGATTGAGACTCCATTCCTTCATAATAGTGCACAATTAATTAGCCTGAAGTCAGTTATATTGTCATGAAGTTATACATAAACTCTTTTAATATGGCATGAATTTTCTGAATATGGGAAAAATATTTTTCTGTAGTAAGGTAACTGATATGTTTGAAATGAGTATGAAGGTTTCATGGAGGCAATATGTTTGATTTCTACCTAGAATATTAACATTTAAATAAAGAAAGAAGTGGGAGAGAACAATCTAACATAAAGCAAAGGGTAAGATCTGAATATGTATTATGAAGCCTAAATTAGAAGTTTCTACATAAAAAAAATATAAGGTGGGGTTAATGAAGCTCAGTTTTAGGTTTGTTTGAAATGAGAGAAATTGGTCTTTCCTACTAATAATGGGTAACTAATAAAGATTTCTGAAATCCCATTGTTTTAGAAAGTGTAAGTTGCCAAGTATTCAAAACCAATCCTAACATTATGTACTACCCCAGTGTTATCAACAAATTAATTTTACAGCTCTTTATCAAGAAATATTAATTTTGGCTATCAAAAATACCAAGTGAAATAGTTTGCTAGATGTCTGTGACCAACAATATATGTAAATTGAGAGATTTAAGTGTTAGCTAATGGAAAAGTGGATTCCAAAGATGACAACGTTTATTCCAAAAGGACTAAAGCACATGCCATTGACATAATTTAAAATTTGCAAATTATGAATTAGTATTGTATATTCATGTATCTGAATGTGTATATGCACCTATATAAATATCTAACTTTTGCTGTAGTGCATATACATAGTATACATTTATAATCCCACAATGAGTAAACTCAAGGCATAAATATAATTGCCTATGTCTGTTACTTATTATATAAATCATACATCATGATAACAAACAATTATATGCCTACATGTGCAAAGAACTATGTAGGTCATAAGAAAATCCAAAATGAAGAAGCAAAATAAAGAACTAGAGTACTCAAAACAATATTAAATGAGAGGAACAAAAATGGAGAACTGACATACTAAGCTTCAGGGTTTACTCTAGCCCAGTAATAATCAAGACAGAATGACACTGGCAAAAGAATAGAAAAACAATAGAGAATGTGATGGCATAAAGTCCAGAGTTATATTCAACTAATCTTTAACAAAGAAGTAAAGATAACACATACTAGAGTAAAGATAGTCTTTTTAATAACTGGATATCATATGCAAAAAAAATATGAATCTAGACACTAATATTAGACCTCTCACAAAAAGTAATGTAAAGTGATTGATGAGTAAATTGCATCACAATATAACTCCTAGAAGGAGAAAACCTTATAACCTTGGGTATAGCAATGACCTTTAGATACAATACCAAAGACAGAATCCATAAGAAAAATGACTAATAAGATGGACTGAAGTTAGTATCTTTTTATTATGTTGTCTTTGTTTTACTCCACTTACATGATTCAGAAACGGAAGATACTGCCTCTTCAGCAATACGTCACCAACA